TTAAATATGCATGTGCAATCACAGCCATACGTGCCGGCCATCCGGATCGCCTATGTCTCTTAATATGTGAATTATTCAGTACAGTTTCGTACTTCGCATATGTACTGCAAATTGCTTGACGCTACTCTATAGTCGGAAAAAGAATCACGCCGAGTTTGGACGATGGGATATCTTTCTGTCTGGATAAAGGAACAACGGTTGGAAATTTGTTCGGGAAAAAGTCACAAAATTTGACAATATACACTATATTATGGTTGAACTACATGTTAAACTTACTTTGAGTGTTAAAGTTTTCTACGAAAATTAAGTAATCAATATATTTATTTCGATACTTATTTTTGTAAAAAGCAGTAACTAATGTAACTAATACTTTATCACTCGTCTTTTTTCTGAGCTTTTAAAAATTGGATATATTATATCAAACTATACTTGATATTTGAGTTTGCTAGAGCTTTTTAAAGCTGAAGAGTTTTAGTTCGGTTTGGAAAATCCTTAAAATTGCATTTATAAAGTAAACACCTTTCTCAATTTTTTACAAAAAATCAGATAACAATTCTTATAGTTGGGTACAGAGTGCAAGATGTACTGCTGTTTGCTTTTTCTTCGACTGGGTCTAATTAGGACTTCATAGATAAATAAGTACAAATATATTTTTTCACAGAATCAAACCTGAAAGCGAATTTAATAATTATTATTAATTAGCTAATATACTTAGGCAAAATTAAATTTATAACGATTGTTCAATAAATTAGATTAATTATGTATTAGGTAAAATATTTACTTCTATACACCAGATAATTTTTCTGGATGAGTTACAGTATTCTAGATGAACATAATTAATAAATAAAAAATAAGATTTCAGGACATCATTTCGACCGGGTACGAAAGATTACTACAAGATGTTTTTTTAACCCTTTACTTAATTGATATAAATAAATACCATAGCTTGATAAGAGTCTTTGCACATCTGTCTAATTGATACAAATACAATTACTAAATTATATAATAAACAATAATGCATTGAAATTCATTTTCGATATTATATTGGGAATATGGAAAAAATCCAACATGAAAAATCAGAAAAGTTCGCTCGTAGGTAAGTCGTTAGAACGACTGAACCTGAATCAGAGGTTCCAAACAGCCTGATATTAAGCGGTAGTGACATTGGTTTTCACTTGAAAATATAGATAACAATATCTTTTCAAGTGAAAATTACTCTTACTTGGCATGGCTGCATCAATAAAAAAGTCAGCACTATGACATAATTTGTAATAATAATAATTTACGTAATAAAATTAGACTTAAAATTGCATAAAAACAACGCAATATTTTACAGGACTCTTAAGTTGTTAACTGGTTTAAAAAAATAATCAAAAAAATAAATAAAAAATAGATATTAATACAATGGTTAGTGCAGCCGTTGGGCAGATCCGTAGCTGAGCTAAACTCCAACTCGCCTCAGAAAAGAATGGTCTGAGAGATTTCCCATTGCCGTTTCACATCGCAGTGCCCGAAATGGGCTATTTTTAATTATAAATATATTTTTTTTATCTATTTTTGAAGTAAAAATGACATTCCTGCTGCACGATATCAGGCTGTCCAGAGTGACGTTCGAACTACCAAATATTAGTATATGGGAAAATATAGGATGAAGGAGTAATTGTAATTAGTAGAAAATAAGCGATAATTAGATATTCATATATTACACTACAGTAAAATTTCGATTCAATCTTCTTACTTTTAATATTATAGATCTACGAAAATTTGTTTAATAATAATTCATTAAAGTTTGGAAAAATGTGCCGTGCTATTAGTCATGCATCGTATAGATATCTTTAATCAGTTGTATATTTCTTGATCGCCGTTGACTTGTTCTTTTAAATACTTTCTTTAGAACACAAATTGAAATGCAATTAAATTATATTAATGTTATATAAATTAAATTGATATACTAGAATTACATAAAACAGATGGCAGGGCTTAAAAGTCCGCGGGTAAAAAGGTCCACCATAGATATCTAAAAAACAAGTAAAGTTAAGTATTTTTTAACAACAATATTTTTAATTAGAGGGACGAAGATGTATAACCAAATTTATATGAAAGTTTATCTATTGATCTCAAAAAAGTCTCGAACTTCATTCTACTTCTTCTTCATTCGAGCTTTTCTGTGCATTAAATACTCCTAAGAATGGTCAACCCTTACGACGGCGACGGTCGATCGGTCTCCGAGCGGAGTCACAATTTGACCAGTAGTCGGAAACTGTCGCGGACATAATAAAAAGCGTATATATTAATATTATAGTTGAATTACGATATACGATTCCATTTACACAGAGCGCACCAGAATCCCCATTGCCATAAATATCGAATTTCGATAAACACAAATGAAACGGTCGGTCGAGGAGGACAGAACATTAATAATGCAACGGCACAAACATTTGCCGCTGTCTGTTTGTGTTAACTTATTATTCAGGGGGATGGTTTTTCTTTGTGAATATGTATAGACAATTTTATTTTTATTTGATGTATATATACATAAATATAATATGTGAAATTGTTCTTATTAAAAACATGTTGCGTTAAGCTTTTCATTTTTTTTTTCATGACAAGGTTATGGGCCCAATTCTCCGATGAAATAGAAATGTTGCGGCAACAGTATGTTACAATTTTTTTTTATATAAATAGGTATTAAAAACTGTCAAAATGCTATGCATTTGCTGTGTGATCAGGCGTCTTACACATAAAACCCAACTTCACGTTTGTGTTATCAATGACAAATGACATGCATTTATGACATTATTTTTTTACGCTTGTGCGCTTTTTTAGCTAGGATTTATATCTAAAACACAGCAAATACATAGTATTTTGACAGTTTTTACTACTAATTTTTATGAAGATTGGACCGTTACATAGCGTTGCCATAACAATGTTACATTTATTTTTTATCTGAAAATTGACCTATATGAGTTCAATATCATTTTTTTAAAAACCTACTTTTTTATATTATTTTTTTATAATTAGTTCAATGTATTTTCTCGATTGTGTTAATACAAAAAGTACATATTTAACCAGGTAACAGTGATTGACGAGTATACTCTCATAGAGAAGTGGCAGAATTTTCTGTATTGACGAGTATACTCTCATAGAGAAGTGGCAGAATTTTCTGTATTGACGAGTATACTCGTCATGCGCATAAAACAGTGATCATTGGCTATTTAAATGGCATTTTTGAGAAAAACAGAACATATTTTCAATTTTCTAGATATTTAGAAGAGTTTGAGGCTATGACGTTATAAAATATGTAGTTGCAAGTGGCATATTACCTTAAAGCATGTTAAAGAACTTTTCGATACGTATAAATAATCGACTTAATAAAAATTAAGATTAGCTTTTTAGATAATATTTTTAACTTTTGATTTCGAAAATTAAAAATTGAGCTTTTCATCTAAAACTAATCAATGAGATTTCCAATTGATATTTTTTAAATAAACTTATAGTGTATGCAACTGTATTAATTTAAATTAGTTTATTAGCACATATTATTCCTATTGTTCTAAAAATGTATTTTATTTAAAAGAGCCGTCAACGGTGATCAGTATGAAACACTGATCAGAAAACAAATCTTTACGATGAACATATGTACTATCATTGCTGCTCAATATTCAAACCTTAATGATTTTTTCTAATTAAATCTTTTTTCGTAGATTTATAACATTTTAGATCGTAAATTTAGGAAGTTCTTATTACTTAACAGCAATAATTTGAATTCTTCTATGTATATGCATAATGAGATTTCCAGTTGATACTGTTTAAATAAACTTATAGTGAATGCAATTATATTAATTTAAATTAGTTTATTAACACATTTTATTCCTATTGTTCTAAAAATGTATTTTACTTAAGAGAGCATTATTTTCATTTTGAAAATTAAAAATTGAGCTTTTTATCTAAAACTACTCAATGAGATTTTCAATTCATTTTTGAAATTGGTTTTGTTTCGTTCTTAGTCTAATGCGTATGTCGTATTTACTTATATAAACCAAAAAAAGGTATATAAACCAAAGTATTAAATATTTTAATTTTGTAAAATAAACCCATTTTTATCATCCAATATCTTGTCAGCGCAACTTTCTCTTACGTTGACGAATATACTCGTCATGGGATGATTCTAATGACACGAAACTCTACGCACTCTTCAATGTGTGTGCCACAGTTAACTGGTTTGAAGTTGAATTGCACTAAATGGTAACTCAATTACAACTTTACCTACAACTTCTAATGTTAATTCTAAAACATTATTAAAACTAATTGTAAGTTCATTTAAACAATAAATAAAAATAGTGAAAATTGTAACAGCATTATTAACTAAATATTAAAAACACCAAAAAAATCAAACTACAAGTTATAATCAGACCCAAATAAATAAGATTTCTCTTATATTGATTTCATATTTGAAATACTATCTAGCTATGGTTTATAATACCCGCGCAATCTCTTGCCTGGGGTCCAAGCAAATAGGCCGATTTGCTTGCGCGCGCCCTATCATAACACATGTGCTCGACATATACGCAAATACGACATGGGCTTTGTTAAAATATTTAATGACTACAAATGTCATTACATTTGGTTTGTCAATCGCAATCTAAGCAAATATTAATATAAGCTTTGTGATATGATATAATGATACTTGTTGATTTTGATGACTCCAGTGGGGAGAAGTGAATGTAATGAAAATTTGAGGCATGTTGGGTACAGTGATTAAACTATTTTTATATTCATCTAAATCAGTGATTCTCAAAGTAGTACAGGGGGTATACGCAGGGCTCGGGGGGTACACGTCAGCGAAAAAATAATTTGGTGGTCTATGATAGCGGATTGCAATATACCACGTTAATATCTATTTACTATATGTATAATATAGTAATATGTATAATATATCTTAAGATTCGATTATTTACACATGTATTACTTATGATTTTAATATTTTTTTGTTTTACCAGGGATGGTCGAGAAGCGGCCATGCATCATGCTCTCAGTTCGGCCGGCAGTCTTCAAGAAAAGGAACGCACGCTGTCTGAAATGATTTTACATCTTCAAATGGTTCGAGAACATCTCTTGTCAACGCGTCAAGAACCCAATGATGATGTAAGTAATGAGCTTAGGTTATTCTTAAATCGTAAAACAGGGATAGTCAATAATTAACTTTCCGTGGGGTAAGTTGTAATAGTCGCAAACAAATCGAAAAGAAAATTTTTGCATATCTTTACGTTTCAAAGGTTTCTGAACATTTTGGCATACTTTGGTATGGGAAGTTCTAGCAATTTGCCTTAAGGCAGAATGCCATGCACCACTAGTTTTATAATCATTTTGTATATATAACGACTTTTTTATTTTTTATAAATGGAACAATTAGAGGAACAATCATTGGAAAGAAGGCATACAAGAGATGAGCTTACTTAGATGACATTAGAAAAGTAGTGAACGAGAATAAATGTGTTAAATAGAAAATCTTGATTAGGCATTTATTATTTTACTGACATACTATCAAAATGCAAAATTAGTTTTAATTCAATATAAATAATTTTTCTTTGAGATTCTCATATGTATTTATTTCTTCTTACATAAGGGCGGTATGAAAGATGGCGTATATTTATTAAGAGCAAACCTGTTTTTTTTAATTTTCCATGAATCAAAACTTCTTTCTTTCATATCAAATATTCTATTTTATACCTGATATTGCTATTTAACCATTTATTAAATTTATGAGGATCAAACTTCTCACAATGAGTTAGTTTCAACTATCCTTGGAGATTAATGTGTAATCTTCTGCACTCAAAATAGGAGTATTTTGTTATTCAAGGCATTGAATTGATATCAATGTATATTATATCTAAAGTAAAAATAAAATAAATTTTTAGCGTATTTTCTATTTTTGGCACTCAAAGATCAACATATTAGGTGTACACTAATCATCCAATGTTTCCTTAGTAGCAATAATTACCATTAGTTGATTTGTTGTTGTATCTATGACCAATAGACTTTTTCTAAATTTATTTTCATTTGTGATGAAATAATCCGACTACAACATTCATTTTCTATATTTGCACTATGTGATACATAAAATATGTACTCACTTTGTTGTCATTGCATTTACTTTCGAAGTGTCGCGGAAATACCTGAGAACTAGTTGTTCATAAGAAATTTCCTTGTTTAATAGATACACCTTATCTTTATAAGTTGCATAATTATGTGTTTCTTTACATTTTTGTTACTTCATACGTAGCATTATTCCTCAATCGCGGACGTAACAAAACACTTTCTATTACTTGCGTATTTGATTGCCAGTAATTGCAAATTAATGCATAATCACATTCAGCAGATAATTTAAATCTGTGTTGCACAAAATAAACGTTAACTGCAATGCGTAAACGTAATATTGATTACCAATGTAGAAATAATTAGCTCTAATTGGCACACTGCTCCTGGAATTCAATGCCAGCATAGATTAAAAAAAAACTAATTAATAAATGCTCTGATACACAATAATTTTCTGAATGAAACAGTCCAGATTAAAAAAACGATTGATGTATTTTCAATTATCGTTTTCCAGCACAGTTTGCGACATTTCCACATGTACAGAGGTATGAGATGACTATAATTTACATCTCTTGATGATCCATAAGCTATGAAGCAAGTAATACTTGTATAATTTTATCTGCTTAGAAAGCATTGAATTATTTTATACCGTTTGCATAAATTTTGCGTTTAAAGTTTGCTTCGGCAGTAACATTGCCGATTGTAAATAACAAAATAACGTTTATACAACGGCGGAGGTGAGTCGAGGTGGTTATCCGATGCGGCCAAACGCCAGGTTTCTTGTGTACTTAGGTACGTAGGGGAAAGTGGAGTAAAGGGATATATTTACGAATTAGACTATCTGAAAGAAAACATAGATTCAAAATTCTGAATCTTTGTCTCTGTAGTAGTAGTAATACACTACTAAATATTTGCTTCATTTGGTATATACTTATTATGGATTATTTATAGTTCTGCACGAAGTTTGACTCACTCTAAAATAAGAAAAAGATTTTTTTTGTTAAATTTAAATTTACAAAAAAATTTAATAAATCATTTTCATAAGTTTGAAGAATATTGCTATAAAATAAGGCAAATTCAAATTTTTCCCGGATCTATTAGCCAGTTAACGGTGATTTTGTCCAAAAGCCCATAAGTTCTTACCGCGCAACCTTTGAATAACTTTAGTAACTAAGTATTGTAATAGGCTTTGATATAAGTTTTATTATCAGCTATTTTATCTTTTACAATGTGTTCACATGAATATGCCAGCTTATAACAAAGCTGTGCACGACATTGGTTTTAGTAGTGTAAAAGCTCTTTTACAGAACTTCGTCTTTCTAAAAAAAATTTTTGTTTTTTTTTAAAAAAATACTCTTGTAGTTTAGTTTTTGTTTCATTTTTTATCATTATCTTATATAAAGTTATCTATTTAATAAAAATATTTTTTTTATCGTAAACCAAAATAAACTCTTCAATTCAATAAAAAAGAATATATATTTTTCATTATATCTTTATATAACCTCATTATTTTAACAAAAACAATTTATAGTTTATTACGGTGCAAATGATGTGATTCGTACTAATTCTTACAGCGCGGTTCCCATACAACGCGATAGCAATTTTGAATGCACTACGAATTAGCTTAGATTGTACATTACACCTGAGTTTCTTATACCACGGTTTCCATATTACGCGGTACGCACTCACCTCATTATCAGAGGGTTGACTGTAGTCTCTATCCCGCATAATACGCTTTTACAAATATGTCGAGTTTTAGTCCGGTTTTCTTTTAAATCGCTTTAAGAGGGTTTTGCTGTATATTAAAAATGTCAAAATACACGATTGCAATTGTGATATATACATGACCAGGCTCCATAAAAAACCGTGTAACTCAAAAATTCCATCTTATATGGAATAAATGCGCTAAACGAAAATTACTATAAAATACCCTTTTTGTCAGTTTTCAATATAGTGAATAACAAACGAACGCACGAACACACATTAAACTACATATAAATATTAATATATTTAATATTAAACACATTATAATCTTAATTTATTTCAATAATAAATTTTGTTATTTGCTCATCTTGAATAAATTCACGCTATCCATTGTATATAAACTTACACACACATAGAATTTAGTTTTGATCATAAAACGGGGAGTTTTTATTTTATCTAGTTATTTCCATCATAGACATAGGCTACTAAAAATTCATAACTGTAACATACATTTTGTAGTGTTGTATTTTGACTATAAAATAATGAAAATTTTATTTGTAGGTATAAGCAAAGTATAGTTTAGTGTTTATAATTTTGTTAAAATACAAAATTAGTAAATTTTGTTTAATTTTTTTTTCAAACCCGTGTAAGATCCAAACTTGTAAAACGAATACCATGTAAAACGGGGGATTGGTGTACATTTTGTTGTAATTGTCTTCCATGAATCATTTTCGACTACCTTTCCTTAAAGGTTCTTATACATCTTATCCACGCATAAGATTTAGTTTTGATCATAAAATGAGGAGTTTCTATCTTATCCATCATAGACATAGACAACTTAGAATTTATAACTGAAACACACATTTTATAATGTTGCATTTTGACAATAAAATAATGAAAATGCTATTGTAGGTATAAGCAAATTATAGTTTCGTGTAAATGCAAAATAATAAATTTTGTCTAAAAAAAAATGTTTTCTAAAAATAAGACCTTGTAAGACCGAAAAGGTGTAAAATATATAAAGGGTGTTATGGGTGTACATTTCGTTGTATTTTTCCTCCATGGTTCATTTTCGACCACCTTCCCTTAAACGTTCTTATAGATCTTCGCTCTCGTACGGACTCCGGGCCCTTTCGTCCGCTTGTTATATATATAAACACACGCGCCGTAGAACATTGTATCCTGACATTTATGTGCTCTGATGGGACATGCTTAAGTCCGTAACAAACGATGCGTGCAAATTTGTGACAATCAAAGAATCACAGCTTGCCTTGTTTCTAAGAGCGACACGGAGTTAGTTAGCGTTTACAGTTAGCGTTTCGGACCTGCCACCACGGTTATTAAAATCTGAAATGTATTATTTTGAGTAATTAACTATTTTTAGAAACTGATCGCGTAGAATAGATGAATGCAATTACTGATCTTTGTGTAATCTTTCTCATGGGGTTCTAAACACAGAACAAATGTACTTCACCCTGTTTTAGTGTTTTCCGCGCTCAACAGAGGGTCTACTGTGCCCAAGTCCATCACTCTTTTTAAAGAACTGATTCTCTTTCTATAATACACGTATTTCAAACGTTTAATAGTTTTTTATTATATATTTTTGGGGAAATATATTTGCGGTTAGTTGAAAATAATCTTATTTATTCCAATTATTCATGTTTATTTTTTATATTATATATTTGCACAATCTTACCTATAATTATACTTAGGGGACGTCCATCAATTACGTATGCGATTTTTAAGGAGTTTTGGACCTACCTCGTCCTTGGTGATACATGGTGATATTAAAATTACTTCCCTCCCCCACACATTACGTGTATTTTTAGTATAAACAAAAAAATCGTGAATTTTTTTTTTTTTTGAAAAATTTCAGATAAATAAATACACGTGGTATTTTACTTGAAACCCCCCTCCCGCCGTAATATTTTGTTATTCTTTGTCAACCCTTCCTCTTTCCCTTTAAAGCTCACTTTATCCATGGACAACCTCCTAGGGGTGATATGGTCTACAATTGGTGGCGCCCCTATGAAGTGCGGAAACAATTAAAATTGAAGTAATGGCAAACCGGTTGTGTTTGCGACCAAGAAGGTTTTTTTTTTATTAAAATTATATGATAGTATATTCCTGTCTCTATTATTATTATGTGATGAATTATGATAAAAATTAGAGGTACAGTGATATTTTTCTTTCAGTATCCGGATTTTCCTAACGATGCGTTGGCGTGTCAACGTCAGTGCTGGGTAAGAAAATGGCACTTGAATCGATGTTGTATGTGTTAGTTTTGATTGTTCTTAATTTGGCATGAGTTTTTCTTTGAGTTTTGTTTTTTAGGATAATGTATG